TCTAAGAATCTAGGAATCTAAGAATCTAAGAATCTAAGAATCTAAGAATCTAAGAATCTAAGAATCTAAGAATCTAAGAATCTAAGAATCTAAGAATCTAAGAATCTAAGAATCTAAGAATCTAAGAATCTAAGAATCTAAGAATCTAGGAATCTAGGAATCTAAGAATCTAAGAATCTAAGAATCTAAGAATCTAAGAATCTAAGAATCTAAGAATCTAAGAATCTAAGAATCTAAGAATCTAAGAATCTAAGAGTCTAAGAATCTGAGAATCTAAGAATCTAAGAATCTGAGAATCTAAGAATCTGAGAATCTAAGAATCTAAGAATCTAAGAATCTAAGAATCTAAGAATCTAAGAATCTAAGAATCTAAGAATCTAGGAATCTAAGAATCTAAGAATCTAAGAATCTGAGAATCTAAGAATCGAAGAATCTAAGAATCTAAGAATCTAAGAATCTAAGAATCTAAGAATCTAAGAATCTAAGAATCTAAGAATCTAAGAATCTAAGAATCTAAGAATCTAAGAATCTAAGAATCTAAGAATCTAAGAATCTAAGAATCTAAGAATCTAAGAATCTAAGAATCTAAGAATCTAAGAATCTAAGAATCTAAGAATCTAAGAATCTAAGAATCTAAGAATCTAAGAATCTAAGAATCTAAGAATCTAAGAATCTAAGAATCCTGGAATCTTGGAATCTAAGAATCTAAGAATCTAAGAATCCTGGAATCTTGGAATCTAAGAATCTAAGAATCTAAGAATCCTGGAATCTTGGAATCTAAGAATCTAATGGGAATCTTGAAGTCTTCCTGAATCTATCAAAAAGTGGGCGTGGCCTAAAATGTAGTTGTCAACGTCTTCTCCACTTTTTTCAATCATCCGAAAAAGTAGTCTGCCTTCTCTTTTTTTCAAAATTGGCTCACATTTCCTGGATAAGGAGGAGGGGGACAAAAAGTGGATTGATTTAACGGGATTTGTCTTTTTCTTCCTCTTTTTTTTTGTTTTGAAATGAAGTAGACAAGACAATTCACAAGAAAAGGAGTTGTTTTACGCTTTTTTTTGGTCGACTACATCGTCTTTTATCATCTTTTAGCATCTCTTTAAGCACTAAAAATAGCCTTTTTTGGGCGCCGCCAACTTTAAAGGCGCATATCTCAAAAACTACTGTAGTTATTAAAAATTGGGAAACTAACGAAATGTGAAGAGCAAATTTTCACACAATTTTCTTTTTTTATCATAATGATAACTATTATAGTTTTTGAGATATGCGCCTTTAAAGTTGGTGGGCGCGGTGAGCGCAGGGCGACAAGGCGGGCGCCGCCAACTTTAAAGGCGCATATCTCGAAAACTACTGTAGTTATTAAATTTTCGTAAACTACAAAAATGTGCAAAATTTTATGCTGAGCAATTTGAATTTAACCGCTTTTTGATAGCTATTCCATTTTTTAAAAAATATGTTCCTTTAAAGTTAATGAGCGCCCGTCCTTCAGGTGGGCGCAGATAAGCGCGCCAACTTTAAAGACGCATATCTCAAAAACTACTGTAGTTATCAGAAATTTGTAAATTACAAAAATATGTAAATTTTTATGTTGAACAATTTTTTAGTTGACAAAATTTAAAAATCTATCATAGTTTTTGAGTTATGGGCCTCAAAAGTTGCCGCACCACCTGGAACGTCTCCCCACGGGGTTAAAGGTTAAGCCAATTTTAAAGGCGCATATCTCAAAAACTAAGAAAGTTATCACAATTTTGTAAACTACAAAAATGTGGGAAATTTCGTAAACTATTTTTTTGTATTATGTAACTTTTTAGTGGCAAGCCTATTTTTTAAGATATGCGCCTTTAAAGTAGGCACATCTGGGAGGTGGTAGGTGGGTGGCGCAGAGAAGCGAGAACGTTTTGTTTCTCTTCGTCTAAGCGATCTAAAAGCTGTGAACTACAAAAAACGATGGTTTTTGGAATCTGGAGTCAAAGGGCATAAGAGCTGAAGCCAAAAGAAAAGTGACACGAAAAATGCGGGTCCGTTTTTCCAGAAAAAGCCCCTTGGGGGGGGGGGGGAAGGGCCGGGCTCTGGAAAATGCGGGCAGAAATGTTTGTCACACCATTTTTGGGAGGAGAAGAAGAAGAAGAAGACGTCAACGTCTTCTTCTTCTTCTTCTTTTGTTTCTTCTTCTTATCTCTTTTTTGACACAAAATATATGGTGTCCCGACCCCCTAATTGGGTCCTCATTCTCTTGTTTTTTTGCTTGAGGTGTTCTTTTTTTTTCTACATCATTTTTTGTGGCCCTTTTTCTGGTTTTTCGGACCATTTTTTAGGAGTTTTTGGAATTTTGAAAATGTCCCTAAAATTTCAAAACCAGCAAAACTTTTTAAACCATTCAAATTTCCGTTTTCAGCATTTTTTTTTGCATTCTTTTGGAAATTCTGCAAAATTGGGGTTAATTTAGAATTTTCAACTAAAACACACAACTAAATTACATACAAAACCTTGCAAAAATTAGAAAAATACCAAAAAACTGAAAAAATATCTAAAAAAAATATCGTTTTCCAGTCATTTTGGTCTTTTCCAAAAATCGCATGTCTGGCGCAGTGGGATTTTCCACTAAAATTCTACCAATCTCAACACCCGGGTTCGAACCCACCTGGGGTCAAACTCTTTTTGCTACTTTTTTAGAGTGTTTTAAGTAACTAGGAGGTCATGTAACTTCTCAGGAACAATATAATCGAAATTCCGAAAAAAAAATAATTTTCTGGAACTTTTTTTTTCAAAATTTTCAAAATTTCAATTTTTCATGTTTTTTAGACTTTTTAGCTCATGAAAAATCACTAAAAGTTGCAAATAAATTTTGACCCTAGACGGGTTCGAACTCGGATGTTCAGGTTGGTAGATTTTTGATGGAAAATCCCACTGCGCCACGTTTGCGATTTTTTTGAAAAACACACCAAAACACCGGGAAAATCGATATCTTCATAGATTTTTTTATGTTTTTTAGATTTTTGGCTTTCTACAGACACACTAAGACGTCTTTTCTAGTTTTCTAAAAAAAATTAATATTTGTTTTTGAGAAAAAAATAACTTCAAAAATATTTTTTTGGATTTTCAGATTCTATGGATTCTGAACATTTTCAAGGCCTCCTAGCACCTTGAAAACGCTCTAAAAAAATTGGAAAAAATTTTGATTCTTGGAGAGTTCGAACCCGGGTGTTGAGATTAGTAGGTTTTCGGTGGAAAATCCCACTGCGCCAAGTGTGCGAATTTTCGGAAATGGCCTGAAAATGGTCCAGAACACCGGGAAAATTGAGTACAGGGGTAGTTTTTAGTGAATTTTCTGATTCTCGCAATTGAATTTGCTAAATAGAACAAATTTTCTGTCAAAATCGTGCTTTAAAAGAAAAGAAAATTGATTTTTCCCTCGCAAGCTATTTCAAAAAAGAGCCATGGAAAATTTGACACTAAAACACACGAAAATTTTTAGGGTCCCGAGAAAAAAGACACAAAAGGATACAGATGGGGGGACGCAAGCAACACAGGAATGCATCGGAATTGTTCCATGAATTCTGAATTGAGGCCTTCTAGGCTCCCCTCAACGTCTTCGGCTCCTTCCTTTTTTATTCTAGAAGCTTCTTGTATTTTTTTGAGCTCTCTCTTTCTAGCTTTTTGATGACTTTATTATTGGTATGGGGGTACCCAAGAAAATGAAACATCTTTTATGGGTTCTGGTCCACCCCACTCCATCCATGCATATAGATTATTTCATTTACGTCCCCCACCCCCTGCCATCCTTTTATGATCCACCCAATGTTTCCGCGTCTACATCTCAAGAACCAGAATACCTACACAAAAACTACAAACTACAAAAATGTAGGAATTTGTATTTTACACAAATTGATGATTTACAAATTTGTGATAGCTACAGTCGTTTTTGAGATGTGCGCCTTTAAAGATGGTGCGCCAACCTTGTGTGTGGACCCCCCTTCCAGGCGCGCTAACTTTAAAGGCGCATATCTCAAAAACAAAAAACGCTTTTCAAAAAATTTAAACTAGCAAAATGTAGAGAAACTTGAAACCTTTGTTTTCTAATTTATAACTTTGTGAGAACTACAGTAGTTTTTGAGATGTGCACATTTAAAAGTGGCAGGCCTACCTTGTGCGAGAACCCCCTCCTAGGCGAGCTTAATTTAAAGGCCACATCTCAAAAGCCAGAAAAGCTGTTTGAAAATTTTAAACTACGAAAATGTAGGCAATTTTAAGACATCCATTTTTCAATTAACAGTTTTTTTAGTAGCTACAGTAGTTTTCGAGTTATGCTCATTTTAAGCTGGCGTCCGGTACACCACAGACAGGAGGAAAAGAAGGGAGGAGAGACACAGAGCAGCTAGACTGTTGAGGAAATTCTAATTTTATAAATTTGTTGAAAAATAGCTTTCTTTTGATACTAAAACCAAAAAATTCAGGTGTCTAGGCACTGAGTTATGATGAAATTTTGAAAAAAAAATTTTTGAAAATTTTTGAATTCCCGCCAAATCTTGATACTCCAAAAACAACAATACGCATTCAATTTTCTGTGCCTTTCCTCCTTTTTCCGCTGCAGTTATCTTAATTTTTCATCCAAGAACTGATAAGAGACGCAGACAACGAGCGTGCTCTAGCTTCTCTGCGTCTCCACCCCCTTCCGGCGGTGCGCCAACTTTAAAGGCACATATCTCTAAAACTACAACAGCTATCAAAATTTTGTCAACTGCAAAAATGTAGGGAATTTTATTTTACACATTTTCACAATTGATAATTTTTTGTTAGCACTGCTGGTTTGTGAGATACGCGTCTTTAAAATTGCCCTCCTCCTATCTCGTTCCTGCGCACACCTTGAAGAGACGCAGAGAAGCTAGAGCACTCTCGTTTCTCTGTGCCTCTAGCCATCATTTTCTAGTTCTACCCCAAAATAGAAACATTAAAGGGATCTATATCAAAACCAAAAAAAAAGAGCGGAAACTTTTTTCTCTGCGTCTCTCATTCTCTCCCTCTCCCTCCAGATGCTCCTGGGACCCCGCCTCTTCTATACCCCCCGTCACAACCCCTTTTCTTTTCTCTATATCTGCTTTTTCTTCTCGTCTTCTTGCTCGTCACTTCCTAAACCTTTGATTTAGGAGCTAACAAAATTTTTTTTTGAATTTTCAAAAAAAAAAACTTGAGCCAAAAATTTAAAATTTTCCGAAATTCCAGAAATTCCAAATGCATCGAAGCCGAACGCGCTTAACGCAAATTTTTCACACCTCCATAGCTCTTCTATTGGTTTCAACGATTTTCTGTCAGAATGGGTGGGTCAAAATCGATTTTTCTAATTTTTGATCTCCCAAAGTTTTAAGCCCCGCCCACAATCACACAGCCGACCAAATCAGCAGCTATTGGAGCAATCGGAGCCAGACAATGTATTCAAATGCGTCGAGTTTGTTGAGTGATCTGTTATCGGATTACGATATTAGGTTGAGGCCTGGATTTGGAGGTAATTTGAAAATCTTATTTTTTGGAAATTTTGGGGGTATACATTTTTTAAATCGATTTTTTGAAATTTCAAAAAATTGAAAGTTTATAGCATTATATATTTTTACAATGCTCAGAAAATTTCCTTTGTTTTAATATTAAAATCAAAACTATTGGTTGCCTAAGCACCAAGTTATGAAACTTTGAAAAAATTTTTTCAAAAAAATCTTTTTTTTTTGAAAATTTTTGGGATGCATTTTTGGAATCGAGTTTTTGAACTTGCGAAAAATTATAAGTATTTAGAAAATTATATTTTCAAAAAGCTAAGAAAATTAACATTCTATTAACACTAAAACCAAAAAAATCGGTTGTCTAGGCACCGAGTTATGAAACCTTGAAAATTGAAAAAAATTTTATACCTGGATTCCACCTACACACAACCAAATCCCATCCAATTATCCACCCTCTTAACCTAACCTTCTCCCAATTTTTTCAAATTCAATTTTCCCCCTTTTTCTTGTCCCAAATTGAAAAAAAAAGTATCCCAAGTGAGCAAAAACCCCTGTTTCCCGAGCTGCTGGGGACCTTTTAAGATTGAATTTTGACATAGATCGACAAGAGAGTATGGAAAATTGAGAGACGCAGACAGATTAGGGTGTGACACTTTTTGTTTCGAAATTCGATTTTTTTTTTTGGGAATTTTTTTTTGAATTTTCTGCTGATTCCAAACGTCTTCTGAAGCTTCCAGAAGCTTTTAGAAAACTCAAAAATTTGAAAAAAGGAAGAAAAAGTTTATATACCCCCAGGGACCACTTATCATGAAGCTGTCAGCACCAGAATACAATGCCAAAACATTGGGATTTTGGAAAAAAAATTTTTTGAGCCTTAAAAGTTTTTCCAGGCGACGCACTTCTTCTCACCATGGACATCATCATTGCATCGTTCGATTCGATTTCGGAAGTTGATATGGTATCTAGAGATTGAGAGACGCAGAGATATTTTTACAAAAAAATATTCCAGGACTACACTCTGACCATGTATCTACACCAATATTGGACAGATGAACGGTTACGGTGGAGTAATGAGATCCCAATTGATGAGATGACACTTAGCGGGGAGTTTTCGCAGTGAGTTTGGTGGAAGAGACTCAGAGAAGCGAGAGTAGTCTCTCCTTGGGTGGCATGCAAACTTTAAAGGCACACAACTCAAAAAGTTGAAAAGTTAGAAAAAAGTTGATAGCTACAAAACTGTGTAAAATAAAATTCTCTATATTTTTGCTGTTGACAAAATTTTGATAGCTATTGTGGTTTTTGAGATATGCGCCTTTACATTTTGCCGCCTACGAAGAGACGCAGAGAAGCTAGAGCCCTCTCGTTGTCTGCGTCTCTCAATGTCTATTTCAGAAAAATCATTTAGAAAAAAAACTTGATAGTGGGAGAATTTGAATACTTAACTTTGGGGTAAGAGACGCGGAGAAACGAGACTACTCTCGCTTCTCTGTGTCTCTTCCTACCTCACCCTCGGGGCGTGCCTATGTTAAAGGCGCATATCTCCAAAACTACAGTAGCTATCAAAAAATTGCAAATTACAAAAATGTGTGAAATGAAATTTTCTATACTTTTGCAATTGACAAAATTGTATTAACTATTGTGGTTTCTGAGATATGCGTCTTTAAAGTTGGCCTAGCTGGCGCCCCCTCACCCTCCCTTCACCGCCGCCATTGGAGGAGGGTCGTCTAACTTTAAAGGCGCGTATCTTGAAAACTACAGTAGTTAACAAAATTTTGCAACCTCAAAAATATAGGAAGTTTTAAGCTCTATAAGCTTAATTTTTTATTCCAGAAACATCTGGGTACCCGACACCTTCTTGGCCAACGACAAACACTCATATCTACACGAAGTAACCGAACGAAATAAAATGCTAAGGGTCAATGTAGACGGAAAAGTTGCATATGGAATGCGTTTAACGTCTACATTAAGTTGTTCGATGAATTTGAGGAATTTCCCATTGGATTCACAGAATTGTACCGTTGAAATTGAGTCGTGTAAGTTATATCTTAGAGCAGCTAGGGGAAATTTGAAATTAGCAAAATGTAGAGCTCAAAATTTTGCACATTTTGCTAGTTAGAAGTTCTTTGATAGCTATTACCGGTGCCGAGATATAAAGCTTTGAAGTTTGCAGAGACGCAGAGAAACGAGAGCGCTCTCGCTTCTCTGCGTCTCCCTGTGGGCGCGCTTCTTTTCCTAACCGGCAGAGCGCGCCTCAACTTCAAAGGCGCATATCTCAGAAACAATAATAGCTACTAAAAAACTTCCAACTACAAACTTGTCTTAAATTTTACGAGTTACATCTTGCATTTTGAATTTTATTTCTAGCCATCCTAGTTTTCGAGATATGAGCCATCAAAGTAATTTGTTACAGATGGCTACACAACATCCGAGGTTCTAATGAAATGGAACTACCCACTGGCAGTTCATGGTGTCGAACAAGCCGATGTCCCTCAATTCACAATCACCGGATTCCACACTGAAGATTCTATTGTGTCCACGGCCACCGGCTCTTACCAAAGGCTCAGTTTAGTCTTCCAACTCCGTCGATCAGTTGGATATTTCATTTTCCAAACATATCTACCATGTGTTCTGATTGTGATGCTCTCTTGGGTATCTTTCTGGATCAACCATGAGGCCACAAGTGCCCGTGTAGCTCTTGGCATCACTACTGTACTCACTATGACCACAATTTCCACGGGTGTCAGGCAGAGTTTACCCAGGATTAGCTATGTAAAGAGTATCGATATTTATTTGGTGAGTTGCTCGAAAACCATTTTAGCTAGACAAAAATTTTTAAACTAGCAAATTGTAGGGCATAAAATTTTACACATTTTGTTAGTTGGAAGTTTTTCAATTGATATTACGCTGCAGGGGATACGCGCCTATAAAGTTAGGAGGAGACGCAGAGAAGCGACGCGCGCTCTCGCTTCTCTGCGTCTCTCCGCGGCAAACTTTGAAGCCGTATATCTCAACAGCGATGATAGCTATGGATAAGCTTTCAACTAGAAAAATATGTGAAATTTCTTGTTCTACATTTTGCCAGTTAACGATATCCAATAGCTACCGTATATTTTGGGATATGCACCTTTGAAGACGGTGCGCCCTGCGGCTTAAGAGCTGCTGACGCGCGCGCCAACTTTAAAGCCGTATATCTCAACAGCGGTAATAGCTAGCAAAAAACTTTCAACTAAAAAAGTATGTAGAATTTTATGTTCTACATTTGACTAGTTAACCCCAATAATCTATCTCTTCTAGTTTCCCAAAAAATCCTAATTTTTTCAGGTAATGTGTTTTGTGTTCGTCTTTGCTGCACTTCTGGAGTACGCAGCTGTTAACTACTCCTATTGGGGCAGAGAAAGAGGAAGGGGTGGCGGTGGAAATGAGTATGTGCCTTTAAATTTGTCTGAAAATTTTTAAAAAATTATAAATAGATGGCCCGTGAATGGGGCGAACAAGGAGGACCGCGAATCGGCGGTGAATGTGCAGAAGTGGGTGCCGAGTGGATTGATGGACGTGAGTTGAAAAAGGGGCGGAGCTAACATTTAAAAAAAAGTTTCAGGGCGTCCCACAACCCCAAGACCGACGAGTAGAAGCTTTGGAAGAGGCCATGGGAAGCAGTAATACGGCTTCGAAATCTGTGAGTTTTTTGAAAGGCGCGCCAAATTAGAGGCGCATATATTTCTCAAAAACTACAGTAGCTAAGCAAATTTGAAAATTAGGTAATTGTTGGAAATATTATCAGCTACATTTTCGTAATTTACACATTTTTAGTAAGTACCGTAGTTTTGAAGATATGCGCCTTTAAAGTTGGTGCACCTCTGGAGAAAGAAGGGGGGTGGGGGTGCGCGCAAAATTTAAAGACGCAAATTAACAAAACGTAAAATATGTTGAGAGCTTTTTTGCTGTTTACAGTTCTTAGATAGCTACAGTAGTTTTGGTGATAGGCACGTTTAAATGTGGCACCCCCTCAGCCGCCGGGCGAAGAGACGTGCTGACTTTCAAGGAGCATATCTCGACAATCGTGGTAGCTAATAAAAATTTAGAAATCTTGCTAAATATTATAAATTTTAAAAGCTTTATTTTGCTTTTTACACCTTTTTGATAACTACCGTAGTTTTTTTGAGATATGCGCCTTTAAAACCAACGCGTTCCACCTACCGGTGCCTGAAAGGCTGGAGAAGGCACACCAACTTTAAAGGTGCATATCTCAAGAACGGAAGAAGCTAATCAAAAATCACAAAACAACAAAATGTAGTAGATTTTAAGAGCTTTATATTGCAGTTTACACTTTGTTGATAGCTACATTAGTTTTGGAGATACGCGTCTTGAAAGCTGGCCTACTCCCGCGCTCTCTCACCTGCGACAGAGGAAAAGCAGGCAAACTTTAAAGACCCATATCTTCAAAACTACTGTAGTTATCAAAAACCGATAAAAAAAAACATTTTCATCTGATTAAAATCTATTTCAGTCCCCTGTAAAACCCAAAAAACGCTCCTCCTCCCCAATCCCACCTCTCTGCCGGTCCGGGAACACCATTAGCGAGGAGGCGGACGAAGTTCCAGATTATCCAAGATACTCATCGACGTCTCTGAAAGGAGGACGACCCCATGCATCCCTAAATCATCGAACACATCATATGAGAGGCTCACATAGCGCAAGGTAAGATTTCTGGAAATTTTTCTGCAAATTTTTTAGAACTTTTCAGAGCCAAACGACGGATGACACTTGCCAGAATGAATGTATCCATGAAACAGTCAATATCAGGCATCGGGCGACGTGCTAGGAAAGTAATCCCTTCGATTCGTGTCCGAGATGTCAACCTTATCGATAAATACTCACGGGTCGTGTTTCCAGTGTGCTTTATTGTTTTTAAGTGGGTTTAACTCAAAAACTAGGAAAGCTAGAGGAATTTTGTTAACTGTGAAAATGTAGAACTTGAAATGTTACACATTTTGTTAGTTGAAAGTTTTTGATAGCTATTACCGGTGCTGAGATATGAGGCTTTAAAGTTTCAGCGAGGGGCGCGCGCTCCCTGGGAGACGCAGAGAAACGAGAGCGCTCTCGCTGCTCTGCTTCTCCTGCGAGGCGCGCAAACTTTAAAGCCTCATATCTCAAAAGCGGTGATAGCTATGGATAAGCTTTCAACTAACAAAATGTTAAGCATTTTAAGTTCCACATTTTGCCAATTTAAACAATTAAAATATCATTTTTGGTTTTTGAGAAAAATGATAAAAACCTACTTTTCAGCCTCTTCTACTGGAGCTACTACATGATGGCTGGAGCGACAACATAACTTCTTTTTTAATCTTTTTTTTCTATTTTTAAATTTAAATTCCGTCCCCGAACATTATCATTTTTCTACATTTTGTGACAAAATGTTTGCAAAATGATATTTCTCCTTGTATAAACATATAGCAACTAGAAAAAACCGGAAGTTTTGGAACAGGAAGTGCAATAAAATCGGATAAAATTTTTTATCAGTTTTTTAAGTGTAAAAATGACACCATGCTTATTTATCAGTGTTTATCTCAAAAACCAAAAATGATATGAAAATTTGGTCAGTTACGAAAATGTAGAGCGTAAAATTTTAATTTTATTTATTGCTTTCAACTTTCAGATAGCTACAGTAGTTTTTTGAGTTTGCGCCTTTAAA